CCGGGCGCGAGCCGGGGCACCGGGCGGCGGCGGCGGCGCGCGCCATGTCTTTCAGTGAAATGAACCGCAGGACGCTGGCGTTCCGAGGAGGCGGGTTGGTCACCGGCGGCGGCGGCGGCTCCACGAACAATAACGCTGGAGGGGAGGCCTCGGCTTGGCCTCCGCAGCCGCAGCCGCGACAGCCCGCGCCGCCCGCGCCCCAGCAGCCCAATGGGCGCGGGGCGGACGAGGAAATGGAATTGGAGGGCCTGGAGCCCCAAGACGCGGAGGCCTCGGCCGGGGCGGCCGCCGCCGAGGACGCCAAGGAGTTGCTGGTCCCCCAGGACACGGGCGGCCCCGCCTCGCTGGGCGGCGGCGCTGGGGGCCCCCTGTTAGCGGAAAGGAACCGTCGGACTCTGGCCTTCCGCGGAGGTGGCGGCGGGGGTCTCGGCAACAATGGCAGCAGCCGCGGCCGCCCCGAGACCTCGGCGTGGCCCCTTCGGCATTTCAATGGGCGAGGGCCGGCGGCCGTGGAGCTGGAGCTGGACGCGCTGGAGGGGAAGGAGTTGATGCCGGACGGCGCGTCCCTGAGCGACAGCACCGAGGACGAGGAGGAGGGGGCGAGCCTGGGCGACGGCAGTGGGGCGGAAGGCGGCAGCTGCGGCAGCAGCAGGCGGTCGGGCGGCGATGGCGGGGACGAAGTGGAGGGCAGCGGTGTGGGAGCTGGCGACGGAGAGACTGTCCAGCACTTACCGCTCGCGCGGCCCAAGTCACTCCTGCAGAAGCTCCAGTGCTCCTTCCAGACCTCCTGGCTCAAGGACTTCCCTTGGCTGAGGTACTCCAAGGATACCGGCCTGATGTTTTGCGGCTGGTGCCAGAAGACCCCCGAGGATGGGGGCAGCGTGGACCTTCCCCTGGTGGGCCATGATGAGCTTTCACGAGGGACCCGCAACTACAAGAAAACCCTGCTCCTGAGGCACCACGTCTCCACCGAGCACAAACTCCACGAAGCCAACGCCCAGGTACGCTTTTTTGGAGAACGTTTAAGGAAAGGCTTATCAGTAAAAAAGCAAAAGCAAAGCAGGAAAAAAAAAAATTGCCGTGAATGAAGGCATCGTTCCAGGCGAGAGGTTCCGGGAGCTAACGCGTGGGGGTTTAGAATTTAGGAAGCCTGGAAACAAAGTTTTCCAAAGTTGTGAATGTGTTGGGGGAGGGGTGGAATGACAATTTTCTAATGGTAATGCTGAATTTATATTTTTTTTTCTGACTCATACTTTGTTTAAAAGTCTGAATCAGAAAGAGATGGAAGATTTAAAACCCAGAGATTTAACTGTGGTTTAAAAATTATCAGCGGAGATTTTAGAGCCGTGGACTGCCTTACATAGAGAGATACTAAAGGGCCAGAGGAAATCTGTAGAGTGGATTAAACAAGTTGCCTTAGGTTTGATGTGACTACCCCTGTCCTGAAGCATCCACCCTAAGACATTCTTACATCAGGTCAAGATAATGTGAAATATGAGAACCACTTGTAAAAACTGAGGAAGCTAGTTGAATAGCACTTAACTGAGTTGAATTTTGCAGAATTCATCTTAGTTAAGCTTGTTGACTCTGAGGAAGACTCGCTTTTGGTAAAAATTCCTGTAGTTTTTTACTTCTGTCCATATTTTCTCCTGGGATATTTCGGTATTCCCCCCTTCAAAAACTTTTCTGTAAATAAAATAGTTTATGTGAAGAGTTTTAAGCTTAGCTTTGGAAGTGCTTAGTGTGAAGTTAGTTGGACTGTATTTCCTGAAAAATCATGTCCTTACATAAAAAAAACAAGCCTTGTTGTGGGTTTTAATGTTTTTTTTCTTTTAACGGTTTTATTCTAAAGATTAAGTAGTCTAACCATTTTGATAGCCCTTTTCAAGTCAAACAGATGTTGATCTGTCCTTTCTATGACTTGGACAACCTGTGGTGGTGGGCGGAATTCATTCTTTTGTATTGGTTGCCAGTCGTTGATTTTTTTTTTTTTTTTTTTTTGAGTCAACACTCAGGTATTAGTACCTCACTGGTGTTTATGGGAGCCATCCTGCTGCTCAGCACACTTAGGCTATGGTTTATTAGGCACACAAGTAACCCAGAGACAGATTCTCAGATGTTAAGGCATTAACTTTAAAAGTACTGGATTCTTGCCTCCCTCCCCCAGGGCAATGAAAACAGGTTTTTGGTTTTTACTGTTTTTGTACAAATTTTGTTTACCTCAATCCTATAAGGAAGGTCACTGTATATAAAGCCCAGAAAGATTAATTGCCCTGAGTCCTAAGTGCCAGCTGAGACTAGCACCTATGAGGAATGTTGCAATGAGAAAAGAATGGCTTTTGAGTAGATCTGGGCACAGATCGAAGCTTTCTGAATTGCTAGCTTTAGGCGTTTGTCCTGATTTCCAGAGACCTAACATTTTTCTTGTGTGTGCCAAACACATTTACTCTATTCTGAAAAACGTTTGTTTTTGTTTCCGTTTACAGAAGAGGATCTCAGGCTTTAAATAGTTAATTAATGTATGTTTGACGGTACTTAATAAGTAAGATGATGGAAGCCATGGCTTGTGAAAATGAAAGCTGAATTTTCCAAGTATGGGTAGGTTGGTATTTAAGGGAAAAAAATTAAAAACAATTAAAATGAGTTTTCTTATTCTATAGTGGACCAGTTACTATTACCAGCGTAATCTGTTCTGTAGGCAAACCTGAATGGCAGTGTAAATTATAATTAGCTGCTTAGTGAACCATAAATCAGAGGAACAGGGAATTAGTTGGTTAACCTTATGGTAGACTTAGTATGAGTGTCTCCTCAGGCATATATCTGGATCTCAGAGTTCATTCCTAGGTAAAAAGCCTTTCTAAACTTGACCTCTGAAGTATCCTCTCCCATTTCCCTTCATGAAAAGCCCTTTAATGTTACATAGACCATCATCCACTTTTAGGACAATCTTTGTTAAGTCGTGTTTTCCTTAATGTTATATATTGGTCTCCTTGATTGAATTTTGCCTGTTTCCAGTTGGAATTGATCCTCACCGTTTCTCTTAATTTGCAACTTAGTTTGGGGAATAGTTTGCTAGCCTAAGAAACATTTGCAAATCTCTTTGTCTTGTTAACATAAATGACAGATTCCCAGTTCTTTTGAGCAGTTGTTCATCTTAGTTGTTGCCCTGTAACCTTTGATTACCTATAGGAGGCAGTGTAACACAGCCTGTAAGAACATTCTTGGACCTTAAGGGCCCAGGTCTTGGGTCCTAATCTTGTTCAGCAAGAAAATTATTATCTTCTAGTTTTCTCATTCATGTATACAAAGTATATATGCCCACACATAACCAATTAGTAAATAATAATCATTATTGTCTGCTTATTTGTATTGTAGGTTACTGTGAGAAAATTATTACATTTTTAAAAATAAGATTAGTGCCTTGTTGACTGTATAGCCTTGACTACCTGGATTAATAGATAATGCACCCGAGGTTTCCCCCAACTTCTTTGATCGTCTTACCTCTATTTCAGATGTTGAGACTGCAAGCATGCCTATCACACCCAGCTGAAGAATTTTTATTTTTTTGGTTTGGTTTGGTTTTGGTTCTTTTGAGACCAGGGTATCCTGGTAGCCCCAGCTGATCCACCTACCTCTGCCTCCCAAGTGCTGAGATTAAAGGTGTACCCCACCACACCCTGTAAAATTTTTTTTCTAAAACAGTCCCAGGGTATCCAATCCATTATCTTGTACATACTAGTCAAGGATCTAGTTCCAAGATAGATTTATTTATTTATTTATTTATTTACTTATTTATTTATTTATTTATTTATTTATTTATTTCCTGTATCAGTAACAACAGGCTAACCTCGAACTGTGTCCTGAGGTTTGTGGGGTCGGAGGGGGGTGTTGTTTGGGGGTTTTTTGGTGGGTTTTTTTTTTGGAGACAGGTTCTTGGCTGGCCTGGAAGCTTCAAACTCATGAGATCTGCCTGCTTCTATCTAGGGAGTGCTAGGATCAAAGGCTACCATGCCTGGCTTCACAGCAGGAGTTTTGAAGCCACTTTGTTATGGTGTCTCTTGATTCTAGAGAGCAAACCATTTTCCTTTTGATCCTTTCTAAGACTTTGACCATTGGAGTTTTTCTTATTATAAATGTAATTTCAATTTCATAACAAAAGTCTTATATCAGCTTCCTTATTTTCAAAATGAAATGAAGTCAGGTATGGTCACTCACACCTGTATTCCCAGCACTTGAGAAATGGAAGCTAGACATCAGGAGTTCAAGGTCATCCTCAGCTATATGAGTTTTAGGCCAACCTGGGCTACCTTAGACCCTGTCTCAAAAAACTAGAAGACAGCTGGGCGTGGTGGCTCACGCCTGTAGTCCCAGCACTTGGGAGGCAGAGGCAGATGGATCTCTGTGAATTCAAGGCCAGCCTGGTCTACACAGTGAGTTCCAGGACAGCTGGAGCTACAGGGTGACCCTGTCTCAAAAAAACAAAACAAAAAACTAGAAGACATTGAAATGAGATATCTGAAATTCAGGCAAGAGTTGAGTTTGAGCCTGCTTTGCTGGCAATCCTTTAATCCCGTTCCTGGGAGGGGAGAGGTAGGAGGATCTGATTTATGGACTAACCAGGACTGTCTTTAAAAACAAAAAACAGGATCACTACAACTCTGGAGACCATCTTCCTGCTTCTACCTCTAGAGTTCTGGGATTACAGATGTGACCTACTACACCACCCTGTTTCTTATTTTTTATTTTGCTTTTCACAGAGCTAAGGATCAAACCCAGGATCTTAGGCAAGCACTCTGCCACAGAGCGAGCTACACCTGGAACCTTCTTTTTTTTTAAAAAAAAAACCCTTTTATTTTGAAACAGCCTCTACTTAGGTATTTCTGTTTTCCTTGCCGATCTTGAACTCACTTTACAAGCCCAGGCAGGCCTTTATTTTGTGATTTCCTGCTTCAGCCTCCCAAGTAACTAGAATTACAGACCTGTTCCACCAGGCCCAACTTCTCATGGTTTATATAAATCAAATAAGTCCTTTGATTAATTCTTTCATGCAACCAAAAATACTTGAATACTTTTTCAAATATTTCTTTTTGGAGATAGGGTCTTGCTAGGTTGCACAGGATGGTTTGAACTCCTATGCTCCAGTGGTCTGTTGTTGGTCTGCTGCCTCCCCCCAACTTGGGACTCTGGGACTTGGGGAGTGTACTGCACTTGGATTTTGTATTTGTCTTTTTAAGAACCTTAGTTGTTAAGGACTACTCCTGAGAAGTAGAGGGTTTTCCTGTTGGTTTTGGTTTGTTGTTGGTTTTACATTGATGTGTTGATTTGTGTGTATGTGTGTGTGAGGACAACTTGCTAGGACAGTTGGGCTCTCCTTCCACCAAGGATCAAACCAAGATTGTAAGGTTTGTGTGGCAGTTAACTCTACTGCCTCCACCACTCTGGAACTACATCCAGTGTGTCTCTGTTGGGACAGAGGCTTCTTGTTTGGGGGGAGCTTTTTGACCCTAGTGACTGAATGAACCTAGGGCCCGACAGAGGCTAGCTAGTCAAATGCCATTGACCACATCCACAGCCCCTGGTAGGAGTCTTTAATTAATTTATTTTTATTTTATATGTTTTGCCTGCATGTATTTAAGTACATTCTGTTGTAAAATGCCTGAAGAAGTCAGAGGAGGGCGTCATATCGCCTGGAACTGGAGTTGTGGATGGTTGTCAGCCTCCATGTGGGTGCTAGGAACTGAACCCTGGTCCTCTGCAAGAGCAGCCAGTGCTATTAACAGCTGAGGCATCTCCCTGGGAAGAGTCTTAATAAGGTCCTTTGTGAATCTGTGTTCTGAGTCTTGTCAGAAAGGTGACCTTGTATTTGCATATATGTTAAAGACAGTTTATTTTGTTTGGTGCTGGTGATCTATGGTTTTGAGTATCTTCAGAGTTTTAAGGATTAGCTAGTTCAGAATTTGGCCATTTGGCCCAGAAGAATTTTTAAATTGCTTTAATTACA